TCAGGTCGTTCAGAGACTCTGTTGGGTTAATAACTTCATTCTTCAGTTGGAGTAGATTTTCTCCAAGCTTCTCCACAGTCTAAGGCTCAGGCATATGTTCTCTCATTTCTTCTTGGCTATTTATAAGGACCTTCATTGGTCTATAAGATTTAAAAACAAAAATGCATACGAAGTTTCTGTCAAACGGGACTTGATGTTTATTTGGTATATTTTCAGTTCAGGTTCATTTTCTTTGGTTTTTGGCTATATTTCGGCATTGTTGGCCATTTCTTTTCTCTCGCACCCCTCCTGTCCACAGTGGTAGATATATTTGGCCTGCTTCCTGCCATCTCTGTGATCCACTTTGTGTGAGTTACATTGATGGGGATGTCTTAATGCATCTCTGGCAGCATCCATCCTTTATTATACCACATCAGTTCTGCTCATTAGAGTTTTCCCTGCTGTGATCAGTTCTTCAATGGAATTGATGAGAGCTGTCTTCCAGACCCTCATGGCTTCAGACAACTGCCTTCTCATTCCATCCTCTAGAGGAGAGAAAGCCCTAGTCTCTCTTCCTCCTCTTAAAAGGACACTGATCCTATCACGAGGGGTTCACCCTCATGACCTCATCCAAACCTAATTCCTTCAACAGCCCTATCTCCAAATACCATCACACTGGGGGTTAGGGCTTCAACAAAGGAATTTTGTGGGGTGGGTAACAAACATTCAGTCTATAACAAGGTTAAAAAAACCACCTACTCTAAAAAAACCATTGCCCATACTTAATGTTTAATCTCTAAAAGCACGTAAGCATTGCAAACTAATCTGGGGATAAAAAACTGAACTATAAATAATCCTGTCATAATTAGAGAGTTGATTATGTCTTTGGGTTTCCTGGATATAGAACTTCCACTTGCGTTATTATACTTTTAACAGTACATTTTTATTACAATGTAATTTTTATACAAATTTTTTAAAGAGCTCATTATGTTTAAAAGTAAGTGATTGCTTCAGTTTAGTTCTAGATAATTTCCAAGAGATGTTGGTCCTTTTGCCATTGTATGCACCATCATCTGTTTTTATCCTGCCTGTTGGATAGTAGTTTGGAGAAGAATCAGTTTAGAGGTCACCATCCACCACTCACACAACAAATTCCATACAGGTCAAAGAACTGAACAAAGGATATATATATATATATATATTTTTGGTATCATTAATATGTACAATTACATGAGCAGCATGGTAGTTACTAGACTCCCCCCATCATCAAGTCCCCACCACCTACCCCATTACAGTCACTGTCAATCAGTGTAGTAAGATGCTATAGAGTCACTACTTGTCTTCTCTGTGCTATACTGCCCTCCCCTTGCCCTGCTCCTGCATTATGTGTGCTAATCGTAATGCCCCTTTTCCCCCTTATCCCTCCCTTCTCACCCACCCTCCCGAGTCCCTTTCCCTTTGGTAACTATTAGTCCATTCTTCGGTTCTGTGAGTCTGCTGCTGTTTTGTTCTTTCAGTTTTTTTTCTTTTGAACAAAGAATATTGAGGAAAACAGATTACAGCATGGTTTTGCCAGTAAAAGTTTGTTAATTGACCATGGATGTTGATTATGTCCTTGAAGGAAGTTTATATTGCTCTTTTGGTTGTTTTTATCTAGAAGAAGATGAGGACAGTGTTTTGGCCAGTTTTGAGTGTTAACTGATCGGGGCATACCATTATTTCACTTCCTCCAACTGTGAATAAGCCGGTATTCTCGTGAGAACATTTTCATGTGTATTTTCTGATTTTTTGTTCCAACATATACACACTTAATATTGGACAAGAATACCTTATGCTATCATTTATCTCTGGAGTTAAATTAAAGATTTCAGTAGAACCAGCAATTTGGGGGCTGTTAATGTGGTACTTTCATGTTTCTTGAGAAGTAGGAAGACATGCTTTTCTATTCAAAATACATCTGTGAAATCCTGATACCAGAAAAGCTCTGGCAAAATTCTGATGCTCAAGTTCTGTAAAAGCTCTCCATTTTTCCGGGAAGAAATGAGAAAACCTCCTCATGGCACATACCACAGAGTTAGATCTATTCTTTGGTTGTGGCCAATTCTAGCTCTCTCCTGACCTCTCACCCTAGGATTCATACCCTCTCCTTTGCTTTCAGTGCAGCTGTCACCTGTGGGGCAACAGAGGAGACTCGTGGTGAAGGACAGAGATAAGGGAATATCTTTGAAGTTCAGGGTATACAAATCATCCTTAAGCTCCATTGCCCCATCCCCACCCCTACCCCAAATCAAATGCTTGAAAGCTTCTTTCCCTCCCCAAAACACATTTCTTTGAAATGTCTCACCCCTTGTACAGAGCAGGCCTTGACCTTCATTTAAACCTGATTTTACCTGAAGCAGCAGTGTACAAGTGGGAACACAACTTTGTTTCTCTCCAGCCCAGAACTCCATGGCCTGGCCCTAGGCTTTGCATCCCTCAAGAATGACTAAAAGTGATGTTCTTTCCTCATTTTGGTTTAGAGCTAAGAGTCTAATGTAGCAAGAAGGAATAGGGAAGCATCATAACAGGCCACTGAAAATCTCTGAATTTACCACCAGGCTGGCTTTCCCCTCTCTTTTGGATTTTGCCCTTACAGGTGAAATATACTGCATCTTTGCTGACTAGCAATGGTAACCTCTAGCCACTTGCCACATGTGGCTATTGAGCACTTGGAATGTGGCTGGTCCATATTGAAATGCACTATAAGTGTAAAGTATACACTACACAAAAAAATTAAAAAATGAATAAAATCTCAATAATTTAAAAATATTGATTATGTATTAAAATAATATTTGGGGAATTTGGGCACAGTAAATATGTTACTACAATTAATTTAATCTGTTTACTTGTGACTGTGCCTACTACAAAGTTTTAAATTACATTTGTGACTTTCATTATATTTCTATTAGATTATGCTGTTACAAACCCTGTTTCAATTTGCAAAGGATTTGGGGGATGTATATTTATTATACATACACAGTAAATTTCTAAATTTATAATCAATATATAATTATTAGATACTCATTATAAAAAATAATAAAGTTAAAAAAAAGTCAAATTCACCAGCAAGAGGTACATTTGTTTAAATCTAAACTATGGGATTCCCAAATGTTCTCATTCTCCACTTCCATTCCCTAGGCTCATTTCAGTTTCCCATGCAGAGCTAAATGAGAATGGTAAGAATGGTAAGAAGAAACTCACTACATCCTGTGCTTAATTTCCACACTGGGGGCTACATCAGTTTGCTTTGGGCTTTAAGAGAGAAGGAAGTCCCGGTTTTATGGCAACTTTAAGGAAAGGGAAAGAGGCTCATGGTAACTTCTTTTCTAATGTTTAAAAAAAGAAGAATGAAAGAACAGGAGAAAAAGTGTTTCCTGGGCTATCAGTCTGTCATTTCAAAACCTGGCTAAAACGGTGCTGGTCTGGGGTAGGCCAATGTAAGTGCTGCTCCAAACCTTCTCCCCGCACACAAGCTGCCTCGGTATTCCAAATGCAGAGTTTGGACAGTTTCCACTTTAGCTTGGCAGGTCTGCATGGTCTCTGGTTTCAGCTGGCAGAAGCTGGGAAGAGTGGAAATACCATGTAAACAGTCCTGTCAGGTGGAGATTTCAGGTGGCACAGGACACTGAGGCTTGTCCTGGAAAGTTTCTGCTGGACTCTATGGTTTAGTATTTTTATCTGCAAAATGTTCTAAAGAGAAAGTTTGTTTCCTAGCATTCTGGTTATGAGGACAAATGTGGAAATCTGACAGGCTTGAGTTTTAGTACAGACTCTGACCCTAATTAAATGTCTTTTGACTTCAGTCTCAACTTCAGTTGCCTCAACTGTAAAGTGGGAGTAGTAACGCAGGCTGCATCAGACGGATCTTACGAGAACTAAGTATGATAATAAGTATAAAGGGCTTAGCATGCTACTTGACTCATAGTCCATGCTTAGTAAATGTTCACTATAATTACTATTGCCTTAATTCTTTGTTGAAGACTTGCACACAAGGTAACCAGTGTGTAAATGAAGAGTCTTCAGAAGGGGAGGGATCTGCCCCAGTAAAAGCTGAACCACCTCTTCAGCCTTCCCCCAAATGGAGGGCTAGTTTGGCCCATAGTTATCATGAAGTCCCTGTGAGGAAACTGGAGGTCCTGAGAGGTTGGAGTCATCTTCCCCAGACATGAGAGTTCAAGATGGTCCTTGAGAACCTGATACCAGGACCAATCCTGGGAGTCAGTTCCTCTGAGGAAGACCCAAGCAAAAGCAGGAGCAAACCCAGGATCAACCTCGGACTGCCCTGGGTCTAGCCTTGGCCGCTAGACTGATCAGATGGCTGCAGTCAACTTTCCAGTGCTGCCAGGCACTGCCTGCTTTCCAGAAACTGGGAGTCAGAATCGGAATATTCCATGTTGGGGAGGGGAGGCCAACCTCCCTAAGTGTGCCATGCCAGTACAGTATCCTTAACACCGACCTTGTGTTGTAAAGACTCCTGGGCAAATCCCTGCCTCTCAGAGACAAAGCTCAGTCTACATGCCTCAGAAGGAAAAGCGCACTACTGGCAGTTGATCGCATGGCCCAGGACTTATCCGTTTTATTTCTATTTCTTTTGGCACCCATAGCCATAACCATTGTTTAAGACTTTTATTCTTTTTCTTCATTTTAGATGTACCTCTATTTCTTTATTTCCATACCTACTGACACCTCCTGTTACTGCTTCACTACCTTTCCATGCTCCTCACCTCCCCATTCACACATCATCAAAAACATTTAGAAGAATACATTTCCTTACTGACCAAACACTCCAGGGGTTTGACCTGGATAACCTAAGAAGTTGAAGAAAAAGATGTTGGGACTCATTTTCAATGCCTTTTGGTGAGATTTATGTGGCTAAATAGTGTTGGGGCTACAGGTCATGATCCTGAAGGTAAGAGCTTACCTAGATCACCGAGGGATTGAACTTCCTTCTCAACCTATAGTTGTGATTTGTTATATTGCAGGGAGAAAATATCAGATACACAAAAAGACTGGAAATTCTTTGAGGTGAGTCACTTACGTTTTGGGGCTTTTCTGTCTGATATGAAACAACTACAGCAATAACCAATAGCCATTTGACAGGCACTTATTTTAGTGGATATCTTTTCTAAAAAGGAGGCTAACAAGCTGTACGCCATCTCAAATTTTCAATCTCATTTTTCTCCTGCAAAGGTGAGTATGTGTATAATTTTCCACAGCTTTTCAAGGATGTGGAGAAATTGGGCCATCCGGGTTTGCATCAACTTAGCAGTGTATATATAGGTGGGCGGGAGTTTTCCATGTCAGAGCTGTGGGTTGTCAATCTTGTTTGTTTTCTGTCCTAGTCCTTTTATACGTTCTGCACATATGTAGCTTGGATTGTCTTCCGACGTCAGCACTTCACAGAGATTGAAGATGAAATTGGGAGGCTCTTTCGTACCAGTATGTTCAACATTCCTCGAAGGAAGCGTGAGAATGAAGAATCAGGAGGGGAAAAGAAATGCATGACTTTTGTACAATTCAGGTATGACCTGTTAACTTTCCTAAACAAAGGACATTTCTAGAAAACTGGATCATGTGACCTAAATGTCACTTTTCCCTCTCCCCCAAACAGGAGAATGATGGCAAAGCGCCCAGCAATTAAAAAAGCCGTTAATATGCGCTCTCCAGTCATGTCTGCTCTGCTGCCATCTCTCCAAGAAAAAGCTCAGAATATCTTGGAGAAAAAGTATCATCAAGTGGGCATCGAACTCCCAGCCCAGATGCAAAAGCAGATGGGAAGTCTGGACTCTGTGCCCATGCCAGTGTAAGTGGCCTGGGGAGACAGAAAGGGGATCCAGAGTGCTGCTTCCTAGGTCAGACCTGGGAGGGGTAGGGGCTCAGGCAGCCCCCCACCAGAAAGCTGAAGGAAGATGAATGAGTGCACTGGCACCCTCCTAGTCCTGCTCCTCCTCCTAGCCCCTGTTTCTTTTCCAGAGCAGCTCTTGGCACATCCATCTAGACTAGAAGAAAGTTGGTAGAAAGTAATGCTAGGTTTCAAATAGTTCGAATTTGGAGTAGTAAGTAGCAGACTTTATAAGGCTGAGGTTTTCCATTTAAGAATTCTCTCTGAGGAATGTGGGAAGGGTAGTACAAAATCTTGCTGTGGGCTGAGTTTTTGGACCCATATTTAAGACCATAGTGCTGGTTCCTGGAAATAGGGAAAGCTTCAAAAACAAAAAAAAGAGCATGTGTGTTTACCATTCTTAGCTTTATACACACACACACAAACATGCAAGGATAAGTATAACCACAGCCATACACCTCAGTCTTGGGCCTCACTGCTTCAGCTACATCAATAATTCTTTTCACAGAGTTGGCATCTTAGGGGAACCTCGATGTCTGTTCAACCCCCATACCCTTCTCCCTCTTGAACCAGAAGAAACCACAAAAGCATCTGGGAGAAAGTCTTCCCTGGTAGAAAGAAATAACATGAGGAATCAGGATACGCTGGACTCAGTCATAAGAACACTGTCCTCTCAAACAACATTCCCTTAGTAATCTGGTACATCAGATTTCTGTAATTTAAGTCCCTGTATCTGAAATAAACTACTTTGATTTCATCAATTTATGTAGGGCAAATATTTGTTACTATTAAACTTTTTAAATTGTTCAAATTATTTTGTTGAAAGTTCAACAATAAACTATGAAAGAATTCCATAAATCTCTTGAAAAACTCATTTTCCTATATTTAATAGTTTGCTTTGTTATTTATTTACTTCCTTGGCTTCTATGTAACTATCTAGACTAATGTATTGGAACATTTAGCCAGTGTTCTAGTAGGCAAGTGAAGAAATACACTCTATTTATTCATTTCTAAGTGCCTTTTTTACTTTATGAGACAGTGTCTTTCGTACACTTGAAAACAAAATTTCATAAAAAGGCAAATTAAAATATTTTTACCATTAAATGTCTCTCTATGGCTATATTATTCCTGGCATTGAGATATAAAGTATATCTGATTCATTAAAAACTTTTCAGCATATATGTTTCATTCATTCTTGCATTTATTCATTTAACAAGAAATATGTACTTAGTCTCTGCTCCATCCAAAGCCTTGTGCTGGATTATATAGGGAAAAAAGATCAAGGCAGAGGCCATATCCTCAAGGTCTGGGTAGTAGAGAAGATGAGTAAAATACATACCAACTTACAGTGCAATACTGAATATGTTAGAGGCTGTAAAAGAGTTAAACACCAAGTGCCCTGAGGAGACAGAGCAGAAAAGCAACCAGTTCGAGGGACTAGGAACATTCTGATTTGAACTGGTGTTCAGTCGACTGGGTGGCACTAACCGGAGACTTCCGGTCAGAGAAAGAACATGTGCAAAGGCACAGAGATGAAAAGGTGTGCCCTGTGACGGAGTAAGTGCAAGAGCACGGTGCCTGCGAAGGGAGCAGGGGAAGAGCAGACTGGAAAGGTCAGCTGGGCTGGTAGTGTCCCGCTGAGAAGTGAATTGGATATTATTTGGTGGGCAGGAAAGGTGAGGAATCACTAAGGAAACCAGTTCGCTCTGTGGAATACAGAGCTGCCGATCATCTCATATTACTGTTTTAAAATCCTGTAGGAATTTAGCTAACAACAAATGGACTAAATTTACCTTCCTGTGGCAACAGGTTTATTTGCAAACTTCAATCCTCCTTTTAGCATTTAGCTAAAAATTCATTCATTTCACAGAAGAAACTGGATGTTTTTCCCAGATGTAATATTAAAAGCAGATGAGCACTACCTCCAGACTGTGGGAAATGGGGGGCAGCTTCCATTAAACATGTATTGTCTTAACTCTCTCGTCCTTTATTATCTAGGTCAGTTCCTGTTACTCCTGTTAAAACTGCAAAGTTTTAATCTAAATCCTGGACTATGAACTCATCCTTGTTGGACTTTTTATTCATGTAGATTTGGGTTATAATGCACTCTGTCATAACAAATTTTTATCTAGAACATATTGACATGGTTTTATTTAGGCTTTTTGTTTTTGTTCAGTATTTTTAAAACTAAAGCCTGGAAGTTGTGAGAATTTTGAAATTATCTTTACCAGGGTACTGAGCTTTTCTCTTCCTCCTTGTTGACCTGTGGGCTTTTGGTGTACTTTGTTTATTAATTCCTTAACTTAATTATTTATTCATTTTCTAAATTCTGCATGTATGGTATCCCCACTCTATACTGGGCACTATGTTTGTTGCTGGGAATTCAATGTGGAAAAAATGTAGCAAGCTCTGACTTGGAACTGACAAATATTGAGGGAAGACAGACAGGAAACAAATACTCAGATAATGAACTAATTCCAATGGTGCATGTGGCCAAAGAGAAGAGAATGCTACAAGAGTGTATAACCAGACTTGCTGGTGTGGGGTGGATTTCCAGGGGAACTCATTCCTGAGGAAGTGACCTTTAAGTCTGACACTTGAAGACACATCGGAATTAGAGCAAGGGAAAGTAAGGAGGGAAATATTCTTGACTCTATTAGTTATCTACTGCTGCATAACAAATTACCCCATGGTGGGATAATGGCTAACGTGGCTTAAACAGTACCATTTATTATCTGTGTCTGTGGGTTATGTATCTAGCTGTAGCTTAGCTGAATCCTCTGACTCATGGTCTCTCAAAAGTTTCAATCAAAGTGTCAACCAAGGCTGAAGTCATCTAAAGGCTCAATTGGAGGTTGATTTGCTTCCAGTATGACACAAGTAGTTGCTGGCAGAATCAAGTTCCTCACAGCCTGTTGGACTGAGGCCTCAGCTCCTCATAAGCTATTGGTCCAAGACCTACCTCCACTCCTTGCCATTTGATCCTTTCCATAAGAAGCTGAAGACATGTTAGTTTGCTTCATCAGAGTGAAGAGAGGAAGACAGACCAGGCAAGCACGAGAGAAGTTACGGTCACTTACAACCTAATATTGAAACTGTTCTATTCATTAGAAGCAAGTCACTAAGTCTAGCCCTCTTTCATGGGGAGGAAATGCACAAGATCATGAATACCAGGAGGTGAGGATCACTGGGGGCCATCTTAAAAGCTAGTCTGCCACACTAGCAGAGGAAACATGAAAGTCTTGAGGCTGGAATCTCCTTAAGCTGCTGAAATAAGGCTTTTGTGGACATAGATATGTGGCTGGAGAATAGGTAAGTGCCCTATCATGGAAGGTTCTATAAGTGTATTCTGGATACACTTATGATCAGTGTGACTTGTTGCAATGTGACTGTGCGGTTTGTGCCGTGCACAAAGGCACCAGCCAAGTTTGGGGGGAGAGCTGAAATCCAAATACATATCTTAACCTGGTTCTAGATCTTTCCAGAGGGAGTCCATTTTTTTGTAATGCACAAAGCAGCAGCCTTGAATGGGTACCCTTTGGTGGTGTTTAGGCAAGTGCATTGTGAAAGCTTACCAACAGGGTTTTTTTTTTTAATTCAAAATATTCAGCAATTAAGAATGAAAAGACAAGTCAAGTTACAGGCTGGGAGAAAATATTTGCAAAGCACATATCTGAAAGAGGACTTGTATGCAAAATGTACAAAGAATTCTTAAAACTCAACAAAAAGAAGAAAAACAATCCAGTGAAAAAATGGGCAAAAGATATAAACAGATACCTTACCAAAGAAAATGTACACATGAAAGTGAGCATATGAAGAGATGCTTAATGTCATTTGTCATTAGGGAATACAAATTTAAAAAGCAGTAAGATACCATAACATACTTATTAGAATGGCTAAAATTCAAAAAGCTGACAATTCTAAATGTTGATGAGGTTACAGAGCAACAGGATCTCTTATTCATTGTGGTGGGAATCAGAATGATGCAGCCACCTGAGAAGACAGTTTAGTAGTTTTTACTTTGTATTTGTTACTTTAAGTTTCTTAAAATTCATGTGAAAATTTAATAGCCCCAAATAGCCAAAACAGCCTTGGAAAAAAAAGGACAAAGTTGGAGGACTAGCACATTCTGATTTCAAAACTTAATAAAAAGCTACAGAAGTCAATACTGTTTGGTACTAGTATAAGAACAGACATTTCAAGTAATGAAATAAAATCAAGAGTCCAGAAATAAATGTGTATGTATGGTCAATTGATTTTCAACAAGGGTGCCAGGATAATTCAATGGTATTTTCAGCAAATGGCACTGGGACAACTGGATATACCTATGCAAAAAAATAAAGTTGGATCCCTACCATACGACATATACAAAATTTAACTCAAAATGGATCATACACTTACATGTAGGAGTTACAACTATAAAACCCTTAGAAGAAAACAAATGAGTAAATCTTCATGATCTTGGATTAGGCAATGGTTCTTCAATATGAAAGACACCAAAAACACAAGCAACCAAAGAAAAAACTGATAAATTGGACTTCATCAAAATTAGTAACTTTTGTGCTTTAAAGGACATTATGAAGAAAATGAGGGTGATGAGTGTACAACTCTGAATATACTAAAAACTATTAAATTATATACTTTTATGGTGAGTTGTATTATGTGAATTATATCTCAATAAGGCTTTTATAAAGAAAAAAGTGAAAACAATCCACTGAATGGAAAATATTTCCAAGTCATATATGTGATGAGAGTGTAGTGTTCAGAAAATATAATTAACTCTTAACTTCACAATAAAAGACAAATAATCCTTTTAAAAAGGGAAAAAGATTGAAATAGACATTATTGCAAAGAAGATAAACAAATAGTCAATAAGCACATGAAAAATGTTCAACATCATTAGCCATTAGGGAAATACAAATCAAAACCACAATGAAATTCTACTTCATGCTCACTAGGATGACTACGAGCAAAAAAACAGACAAGAACAAGTATTGATGAGGATGTGGAGAAATAACCTTCACAACATTGGTGGTGAGAATGCAAAATAATTCAGCCCCTTTGGAAAACTATTTGTTGGTTCCTCAAAAACTTAAGCATACAGTTACCTATGACCTTGCAATTCCACTCCTAGATATATTTGTAAAAAACCTGTTTATACAAAAACTTCTACACATACATTATTCATAATAGATAAGAAATGGAACAACCCAAATGTCCAACAACAGATGTATGGATAAACAAATGTGGTATATCCACACAATGGAATATTATGCAGCCTTAAAGAGGAATGATATACTAATTCATGCTATGATGTGAATGAAACTTGAAAACATAATGTTAAATGAAAGAAGTCAGGTGCAAAAGGCCACATGTTCTATGATTCCAATTATATGACATTTCCAGGATAGGGAAATCCATAAAGATAAGGTAGCCTAATGGTTGCCAGAGGCTGAAGTGAGAGAGCAATGAAGAATGACTGCTAACACATATAGAGTGTCTTTTTGGGGTGATAAAAATGTGTAATTTGTGCTAATGATTACACAACTCTCACTGAATTGTATACTTTAAGTGAATTTTATGGTAAATGAATTAAATCTTGATTTAAAAAAAAGATCAGGAAAGTCTGAGAAACTGCCATATGACTACTCACTGTAATGTAGTATCCAAGATAGGATCCTGAAATAGAAAAAGAACATTAGGAAGAGATTAAGAAATCCTAATAAAGTATGGACTGTATAATCAAAACAATTTCATACTGGCACAAGAATAGACCTATAGGTCAATGGAACAGATATAAACCCACACATATATGGTCAACTAATATAAGGTAAACGAGCCATGGATATACAATAGGGAAATGACAGCCTCTTCAACAGCTGGTGTTGGCAAAACTGGACAGCTACATATAAGAGAATGAAACTGGGTTATTGTCTAAATCCAAACACAAAAGTAAACTTGAAATGGTTCAAACACCTGAATATAAGTCATGAACCCATAAAATTCTTAGAAGAGAACATACGCAGAAATC